ATATGTTATTTCAATTAGTGAACAAAATCTTTTAATTGCTTATAATATTCGTCTTAATGCTGCTATTGACACATTGCATAATTTTATTGACATAATTGAGTCTAACGAACATATGACTCACGATTTTCATCATCCCTAGTCTAAAGCACATGGTCCAGACTTGAGTTTCCAGCTCCCATTGTTACTCCCTTGAAATAACTTCATAACATGACTCACGTGTGTGATGTTCTGAATAACACCTATTTAACACACCGGTCTCTCCTATGTCGTCCTTGCATGAACCGACTGGAGGTTATCAGTCTATGATTCCTGATTTCACACCTATAATTATCTCATGTCCCAATTCCACAAAACTTCCGCCTTTGATATCCTTGGACCTGAATTAATCTCAAGAAATCCCTACATCAACAATGTTATGATTTGAGATTCCGAGATGTTTTTTTATAACTATAATTTTGGATTGCCGTTTATGAATGAATGGTCTTACATTGAATATATCTCATGAAAATAGATGTTTATTCTAATTTAAAAAGAAAATTTTAGTCAGAAGATTAGGACGTTACGATTCAACCCCTCCTAGACCACCTCTTGATTGGTGAAACCTTAAACCAATCATCCAAATTCGAACTGAATTACAAAAATTGAATCATAATAACTACCTAAATGGCGAAAAAACATGAAAGACAATGATAGATGGCTTAAAATCCTTCATGCGACTTTGAATAGTACATAAATTTAGAAGAACTTCATATCCTCCTCCGAATAACACCTATTTAACACACTGGTCTCTCTTATGCCGTCCTTGCATGAATCGACCGGAGGTTATCAGTCTTTGATCCCTGATTTCACACCTATAATTATCTCATGTCTCAATTCCACAAAACTCCCGCCTTTGATATCCTTGAACCTAAATTAATTTCAAGAAATCTCTACATCAACAGTTTTATGATTTGAGATTCTGCGATATTTTTCCATAACTATAATTTTGGATTAGAGTTTATGAATGAATGGTCTTACATTGAATATATCTCAATGAAAATGGATGTTTATTGTATTTTAAAAAATAAAAATTTATTCTGAAAATTTGGACGCCAACCCCTCCTAGACCACCTCTTGATTGGTGAAGACTTAAACCAATCATCCAAATTCGAACTGAATTACAAAAATTGAATCATAATAACTACCTAAATGGCGACGAAACATGAAACACGTTGATAGATGGCTTAAAATCCTTCATGCGACTTTGAATAGCACATAAATTTACAAGAACTCCACCCCCTTTCAACATTTTGGGATAGAGGTTACATCTTTCATCTCTAACAATCCCTCTTCCACATTAGCACCACATCATTTTTCTTTTATCTCTTCTCATTGCATCCTTGAACCATATTTCAAACATGGAAATGTTTATCTTTCTCATTGTCCCATCCCACAACTAAAGTACAATTGATAATGCCGATGATACAAGTTTTTGGAGGGTAAGAGTTAGAACAAATGTTCGGGACAACCATTTCGAACCGGATGGTTTTTGGTGGTACCCTATGCATGGAGCGGTGTGGGAGTGTTAGATGACCACATAAGCCCTCCCACATCGCACCCTCTACCTTTATAGGCACCCTAATTTTTTTAAAAATTTTAATTACTTGTAATATTAATTTTATATAAAAAAAATATAACATTTATGAAAAAGCGAAAAGTACAAAACTACAAATAAGTGTATAACAACCCAACCAACTCGTTACGTCAACTGACGAGCTATCACATGGACAGCCAAAATGAATATATTGAATGACCAATTGACTGAAGATGTGGCACTCCCCTTTAGATAATGAATCTCTAATCAATTTATACAAAGATAAAGTTCATTCTTATTTTTCTGTAAAAATTTCTAACAAATTACATAAATGTTATAGTAGTTAGTTATATATGAAACAGATAAAATCAACCGTCATCATAATTTTTTAATGTATTTAAACATTTATAAAATTTAGATTTATTTTATCAAAACGGTTAAAGAATTATTAAAAAAAAAAAAAAAAAAAGTGTGATAGATAAAAAGATATTGATAGATAACAGAACTCATGATCGGTACAAACAAATATTATACCGTAATCGATCCCCACCATGTTCGTTTGGTCACATCTACTTTTAATGGCTTAAAAAATCAATAACTGAATTATGTTTGGTTGTTTTGAAAATACAATATATTCCGAATTTAATTTTTAGATTTTGTTATAAAATTTAGTATTTTCAAGGTATTTGATAATAATAATAATAATAATAATAATAATAATAATAATAATAATAATAATATGCTTAGTTTTTACGGAATGACAACAACACACATAACAAAAATATTTGAGAAAATTCGAGAAATGACCAAAAAAATGGGGTGTTTTGAAGAAAATGACAAAAAAAAAAGATTTCAGAAAATGACCAAAGGATCCGCAGAGCACCCTCTGCGGATCCATTGAAGGCTCCGCGGATCCTCTACAGCTCTGCAGAATCTTTGTTTTTTTTATTAAAAAAAAAATTTCGTTTTTTGCATTCATTTTCGTTTATTAATATTAATTTTTTAAATGCACTAATATCTTATGTGATTATGTAAAAAAATTGACAAAAAAAAGGTTAAAAATAATTAACTTATGTTTAATATCAGTCCACAGAATTGTTTGAGAATCCACATAACTGTTATCAGCGGATCAGTGTACATGCGTATGCTCTTCTTGGAATTACCTCTATGGATCAATGTTTTTGACACTTCACTTAGCCACATAAGAATTGTTTTCTACGGATCATTGCACACCTCTACGGATCATTGTATACCTCTGTGGATTTGTGCACACCTCTGCGGATCAATGCACAACTCTGTAGATCAGTATACACCTCTGAGGATCAATGTACACCTCTAAGGATCAGTGTACACCTCTGCGGATATGTGTACACCTCTAAGGATCAATGTACACCTCTGTAGATCAGTTATAGAAGTTATAGACATATTTAAGTGGTTTTTTGTGAGTTTCTGAGTTTCAATTACCAGTAGAAGTTTTTTTCATTATGTTTGTGGAGAGTGATTTGTAAAATGAGTTTTATTATTTTGTGTACGGGAAGGTTGTGGCAGTTAGTTAATAGAGTTGAGGTTTACATCAAAAATAATGTGAAAAACTATAGTTTAAATCTTCCTCCTAACATTGACCATGAAATGTTATTACAAATGGTTAGAAGTAAGGCATGTGTGTTAAATAATCATATATGTTTGTCTTTTAAACACCCGGAGTTAGGGTATGTCATGGAGCTTGGAGATGAAACTGATGTATTTCAATTGAGACATGTAATGTCTGAATCAAAGAAAACGGTGCATTTGTATTTAACGGTGGTAGGTGAAGAAGCTGAAGAACAAGCGGTGGTTAACAACCAGTTTAATCAAGCAAAAACTAATAGAGGTCGTAGAGAAAGCCAATACGATGGAAACCGTTCAAAGGTAATAGGAAATGAAGTGCCAAAATTTGTATATAATAATGATACTTTTGTATAAGATAATGATAAAGAAGCAAAAGTGGGCATGACTGAATTACAACGTCAAAATTTGTTCGAGTTTGGAGAAGTTCCTGAAATTGATGATCGTAGATGTGAGGAAAAATCAAATAAAGGGTCGTTTTGAGTATTGCTTTTTCGCTATTGGATGCGCGGTAATATATTTTTAAATATATTTGTTATTTTCTTAAATGTTTATAAACAAATTACATTGTTGATATATTAATGGTTTTTATATTGTTGTTCCAGATATGTGCTTTGAGAGAGTGTTGTAGAAAAGTTATTATTATGGATGGTGCTCATTTGAACGGAATGTACAAAGGCACCATCTTGCATGCAGTAGCCATGGATGGCAACAATCAGATCTTGCCTTTTGGTATGGAATTTGCCCAAAAGAGACTACGGATTCTTGGACATGGTTTCTTGAAAAACTACATGAATGCATTGGTGATGTGGAAGGTCTGACAATGGTCACGGATAGAGCACCCGCAACTGCTGTAAGTATTCAAAATGTTTTTTCAAATGTTCAACATGGATTGTTTGGTTTTCATCTAGTAGGAAACATAGTCCAAACCTTTGGAAAAAACAAAAAAACAACAAGTTTGTTTTGGAAGCTGGTAAGAGCTTACAAAACCACTGAGTTTGAATTCTATCGGGGGAGACTTCGTAATATAAAAGATGATGTAGTGACATATCTCAGTCAAATTCCACGTGAGAAATGGACCAGTGCGTATTGCCCTACCACGAGGTATGATTATATGACATCAAATAGTGCGGAGTCCATGAATGTTGTATTAAGTAAAGCAAGGAAGTGTTGAGTTCTTTCGCGCACTTATGCAGAAATGGTTTTACAAAAAGCAGATGGTTGCAGGTAAAATTATGTTTAATTTTAAATTATATGATAAATGTCATATATAATAATATATGTTTATTTAACAGAAAAAAGTACAACAATACTTACGAAGTAGGCTGAAGATATGGTTAAAAAATAAAGAGGGAATTCAAGGATGGTCAGTATCCGGTGTTGACAATACAATATATCAAGCGCATGACTTCAAAAGTGGCGGCATAGTGAATTTGAGGGAAAATACTTGTTCTTGCAGATATTGGCAACTAACTGGTTTGCCATGTGGTCATGTGATAATGGTTTTAATGCACTTGAAAAATGATCATTGTCGGCATATGGATATAGATGCTTACAAAATTGAAACATATCGAAGAACGTACAAGCAGGACGTATACCCTCTTTCAGAACTTAGTGATTGGGAGGTTCCGGATGACCTTATGGTTGTTAATCATCATGTGATGGAAATATGTCATGCTAGTAGACCAAAAAACACCAATCGTATTCCCACTCAAGGTGAGGGACCAAAAATAAGAACGTGTACTAGATGCCATAACACAACTCATAACGCAAGGACGTGTAAGGAAATCGTTCCAAAGAACCAAAGTAAAAGTAAAAAAACCTACTGGGGCGTCAGGGAGTGGGACAAAAGTGACAGAAGAGGAACCGACACAAACGACCGAAAACCAATGGCAACATGAGCTAGAGAACCAATGGACGCAACATACCGAACAACAATGGCAACATGAGTCAGAGAACCAATGGATGCAACATACCGAACAACAATGGCAGCAGTAGCCAAACAACTAATGGACACAACATACCGAACATCAATGGCATCAGGAGCCACATAACCAATGGACGCAAGGGAACGAATACCAACCGCAGGAAGACCCACATAACCAATGACAGGATTGCACCGATTACGAATGGCAGCAAGAGCCAGATAACCAATGGACGCAAGCGACAGTAACCTAGGGACACAAGCAATAGATAACCCATGGACGGAATACGAAAACAGATCTAAGTTTCTGTGGTTCGATTTGAATGAATGAAGTTTATTTCAAAGTAGGTTTATTATGAAGGTTGTATGTTTATGTTTTCTAAAGTATGTTTTGTAACCTATAAAAAGCATGGAATATATGTATAATTTTAATTAGGTTATTTATATGCACCAGTAGCAAATGTATTACATAAAACATTTTATTATTTTTAACTTTTTTTTTGTTATTTTTTTACATAATAATCACATAAGATATTAGTGTATTTTAAAAAAAAATTAAAAAAATTAATAACAAAAATGAACGCAAAAAAAAAAAAACGAAAAAACTAAAAAAAAAACTCACGTTCCGCAGAGTTGTAAAGGGATCCACAGTGTTGTAGAGAGATCCGTAGAAGGTGCTCTGCGGATCTTTTGGTATTTTCTGAAATTCGTTTCCTCTTGATTATTTTCTTGAAAGTTTAAACCAACCCTGTTATATCTCGAATTTTCTCATTTTTAAATATAAATTAAATAGGTCTACTAAATGGAGTGTACATTTAAACGAGCAAACTTCAAAACTTTTGGCGAGAAAGAGACTTCAAGTGTTTTTTAAACCTTTTGTAGTCTTGTTACTTTAAGGGGCCAAGGGCAACGTCGTCGTTTTGCAAGGTAATTTCAAGATTAAAACTAATCATATCTAAATCTGTAGGCTTTCAAATACAAAATGAAAATAGAAACAGTAATAAACATTCTATATTCTATATTTTAAATTTTTTGTTTGACAATAGAAACAATAATAAACATTCTATATTCTATATTTTAAATTTTTTGTTTGACCCGACTAGTTGAAAAATTAGTTTATAAATTAAAAATATTTGATAAAAAATAGTTTATAAAACCTATTTCTAAGTAATTTATTAAAAATTAGCTTATAAAATAGTTTATAAACTATAATAAACTATTTTTATAATTTTACAAAAACATTGAATTACAGAAAACTAATTTATTTTGAAAAACACAACCCAAATACATGACAAAAGAAAATTTTAAAACAAAAAAAAAAAAAAAAAAAAAAAAAAGCAGCCAACTCAAATGGGTATATTGCAAGTAGGCATGTCACCATTTAGAAAAATTTGTGACCCACCTTGAGTACTTGACAGTTGGCTCCCAACCTGGAAATTATTGTCATTCTGCCCCTCAAAATATTGAAACGTTTAATTCGGTACATAGTTTTTTATAATTCGTGTGAATAAAAACTTAAATCTTCGTTTTGAACCCTATCATCTTTAATTATAGATTAAATCAACTTTCTATAGCATAAACTCTGCACCATTTAAATATTGTTGGACATACGACTGCAGTGATCTAGTATCAACTTTAAAGTCAAATACTAACAAACGCACTCAAAAGAATAGTATGATAATGATTCAAAATAGATTGTTTATAATATAGCAATATAAAGTAACGAAAACAAATAGCAATAAAGAAAAAGAAACACCAGGATCTTACGAGGAAACCTACACGGGGAAAAAGCACGGACATGAGATGTCTGAGAACCAATTCATTATATTGTTGTGGTGATTACAATGTTATGGAAGAAATTATTTATTGCTCATTCAATACGAGAGACCCAACCCCTATATTTATGATGAAAATGATCGACTTAACTATGGTATGGAAAGAGATAGGAATATATCATCTACTTAGGAAACTATTTGACTATTTCTTAATTAATCAGGATCGTGTAAGGGAAATACTTTTCGAAAGGGAAGTGATTTGTACACAACAATTGGTGTATGACAAAAAATTGTTATGTACGAATCACTTCCCTTTTCAAAATCTATGATTTCAAACATGCTGTCTAGGGTATCACAAAATCCGATTTGGGTTAATCTAAGAAAATCAATTTGAATTACATGCATATTCCGCTAGGTAAGCGGCACCTAGACCACACCACGGGTGACATGCCTATTCCTCTAGGGGTGCTGCCCCTAGACCCACCAGAGACGATGCCTTTTGGAACCCCACAGGAGCAGCGCCCCTGGAACCCTGTGTTCCCAAGTTTTCTGTAGTTATCTGAGCGTGTACATCGTGTAAACGGATAAGTTAAGAGATAAGATTATTCAAATGTATTGTTGCAGCTATCAGATCCATCTGTTTAGGATCTGATATTTATCTCTTACTGTGTAACATGTTTATATATATAATGTACAGCCTTACAAGGGATAACACAGCCAATTACTTTCTTAACTTGGTATCAGAGCCGTCCCTTGGGCTTGTCAATTTTCTCTCCATCTTCCGGCTTTCTGATCCTCTCTATCAAATTCGCCTTCGCCATGTCTTCAATAAACTCCTCCAAGATTGCCACTGCTATCTCATGCAAACTTACTCGAACCAATTTTCTCCTGTGGAAAGCCCAAGTCGTCCCTATATTGCGAGGTGTCCAACTGTTCGGGTACCTTGATGGTACCACACTGAAACCCGCTGCCAAAATAACCTCAGGAACGGGTGCAAATGCCAGGCAAATTGACAACCCCCAATGTGCTGAATGGGTTGTTCAAGACCAAGCGATTATCGGTGCTCTTCTGTCCTCCATGACAGAAGAACTGCTTGCCCAAATCACAAGATGTTCAAATACATCCTACCAACTCTGGACGTCCCTCCACGCTATGTTTTCATCCCAACATCATGGCAACTCTATTCAAATATGCTCCCAACTCTCCACAACTAAGAAAGGAGATATGATGGCCTCTGAATATTATCACAAAATGACCAGCCTTGTAGATACTATGGCAAATATTGGTCACCCAATGACCGATGAAGAGGTCATCAGATAAATTCTTGCCGGACTAGTGCCAGGTCATGGCAACCTCTTCACTGCAATCACAGTGCTCAGCAATCAACATACGGTAACCCTACCTGACTTTTATTCATATCTGATTGCTCATGAAGCATAAGCTAGCACCATGAATAATACAACATAATTCTTGACCTCTTCCAACAATGTGACTCGTCAAGGCCAAAGCACCCCACGCCGGAACTCCAACAACAACTCCTACCATAACCAGCAAGGGACCTATCGAGGAGGAAGCAATCATGGGCGCGGACGAGGAAAAGGCAGGGGAAATAGTGGCCCTCGATGTCTAGTATGTGGAATTCCAGGTCACACCGCTCTAAGCTGTAGGAACAGATTCAATTATGCATATCAGGCTGAGGAAGACCGTGGAGGAAATAATGCCACCACCGGAACCTACATCAATGATCCTAATTGGTATCTAGATACTGGAGCTACATATCATTTAACAAATGATCTTGGTCACTTCACGGTGTAGGAATGTTATCAAGGAAAAGATCAAGTCCAAGTGGCAAATGGAGCAGGTTTGCACATCTCTCATATTGGTCATTCTAAAACTTCTTGTTCAGGCAAACCACTCACTCTCACAAACATTCTTTGTGTTCCTAAAATAAATAACCACCTCTTGTCTGCTTATAAACTTGTATATGATAATAATGTGTTTGTTGAAATTCACCCTGATGTTTTCTTTGTTAAGGACAAGGTCACGAAGAAAATCCTACTCTCTATCAGGTGCCAATTAGTCGTTCATATGTTTGATCTTCTCACTAGGCGTTCACAAGTTCTCGAGTATCTAAATATCAATGGCATCAACGATTGGGCCATCCAAATTCAGCAGTAGTTAATTCCATTTTGAAGTCAAATAAGTTAGGTGTGTCTTTAGATAATAAACATTTGGTGTGTCATGCTTGTCAACAATCTAAGAGTCATCAATTACCTTATAAAAACTTTGTTCATGTGTCATCTTTTCCACTTGAGTTGGTTCACACAGATGTTTGGGGACCGGCTCAAGTGTCTGGTGATGGTTATAGATATTATGTTAGTTTTATTGATGATTTTAGTCGTTACACTTGGGTTTATCTTATTAAAGATAAGTCTCATATTGAACAAATTTTTTATAACTTCCAACATCATGTTGAACGCCTCTTGAATGCAAAAATTCGCACCATCCAATCTGATTGGGGAGGTGAGTACCAAAAGCTCCGTAAGTATTTTCAACAAACAAAAATCTCTCATTGTGTCTCTTGTCCACATACTTCTAAAAAAAATGGTATTGCGTAACGTAAACATCGACATATAATCGAAACAGGTTTGGCCTTATTAGCTCATTCTTCACTCCCACTTCGTTTCTGGGATGAAGCATTCCTTACTGTTTGCTGCCTTATAAATCGCATGCCTAGTCCCACTATACATAATCCCCCCCCCCCTCCATTACAAAATTGCTTAATATAACACCTGATTACTCCTTTCTTCGCAATTTTAGGTGTGCATGTTGGCAAAGCCTGCGTAAATACAACCCACATAAGCTTGATTTCCGATCCAAATTATGTGTTTTCATTTGATATAGTTCCATTCATATAGGGTATAAATGCCTTGACAAGAGTACTGGTCGAGTTTATGTATCACGTGATGTTATTTTTGATGAATCTAGATTTCCATTCGTCACTTCCACAGACAGTCACACAACACCTTCTTCATCTGAAGTCGTGTCCTTTCCTCAAGTTGAACCATAAATTACTAATGATCATATGAAGAGTTATTACCTATCTTTGTTATCTACTAATTCTAATGCAGCTGCAGCTTCACCTCCAGGTCAGGGGCTACCAAATCTTGGTGATTCTCCACAGCAACTGTCACCGCCAACTCCGTCATCACCAATTCTCTCAACCACGTCTCCATCAGGAACAACCACCGAGACTCCGATTTCCTTCATCCCGGCGTCACCAACAGCCTCATCTCCTGCCTTGAGTGATCAATCCAACCCCTCACTCCTTCCTCAAGGGGTTGTTACTAAAGGACGTGCTGATATAACTCGGCTTCGAAAATTTACTGATGGGACTATTCTTTATGATGCTACTAAGCGTGCCTTCATGGTTGTTCCCTCAACGCATCACATCGCTTCTGCTCACCCAGCATGGTGCAAAGCAATGGAAGCGGAATTCTTGGCACTTCAACACAATAACACATGGTCAATTGTGCCTCGTCCACTAGGTGTCAATATAGTGGGATGCATATGGATTTTCAAGCTCAAGCAACATGTTGATGGTTCTCTTGATAAGCATAAGGCTCGTCTTGTGGCACGTGGTTTTACTCAACAATATGGAGTGGACTATCACGACACCTTTAGTCCTGTTGTTAAACCAGCCACGTTTTGATTAATTCTCTCCTTAGCGGTCTCTTGCAAATGGCCCCTACGGCAGATTGATATTAATAATGCCTTTCTTCATGGTTTTCTCAATGAAGAGGTCTATATGCAACAACCATCGGGGTTTGAGGATTCTACTCATCCTCATTATGTTTGCAAGTTACGTAAAGCGATATATGGGCTCAAGCAATCTCCTAGAGCTTGGTTTTCTCGTTTGATTGATAAGCTTCATCAAATGGGTTTTCGTCCGTCTAAAGCTGACACATCCATGTTCATTTTTCATCATGGTAACACCATTCTTTATAGGGATAATGACTTGAGAGGGTAATGTATTTTAGCTTTTGGTTACATTTGGTCACTAAATTATTTTTCATGCATTACTAACCCTTGAACTTGTTGAAATGTATAGATTATACCAGTATGACCGGTAATAGTGGGTTTTGCCAGTTTCAGGCGTTGTTTCCGGCCAAACACATTTTCCGGTCATCTTCTCCGGCCAAACTCCGATTTTCCGGTATTGCTTCTGATGACACATTTTGTCAAAATCGATTCCTACCTAAGACCACCGCCAATAGCTCCCAAATCAGCCACCAGTCGCCACCCTTACCTCCACCAATCACCACATTTACCTTCAATTACCCCACTATAACCCACTAAGACGACCATTGGTTCGCTGCCAATATAACCACACCTGCAAATCGAAAATAAGAAAAGGACTAAATCTTGTTTTCTCTGTGCACACCGTCAAACCCACACAACATTATCTATATGTCGACAATCAAACCTGCAACTTGAAGGGGGAAAATAAAGTCTACAATCGATTTTGAGAGAAGAAGAGGAAACAATGACCTCGCTGGAGAAATGCCAGAAAAGATCAGAAATATTGTTCAAAGATCAAAAACATTAAAAGAAACAACGTATGATTCACTAATCAATGCAAGATTCGATTTTGTTCTTATGTTCTAACTAAAAGCTTAGATTTAAACAAATTGAAAGATTGCAGAAAGGAGAAGGAAGAACCCAAACCAATGGTGAGAAATCGACCCAAATATGAATCTGAAAGAAATGCACCCAAAACAGGGGCAAAATTGGAAGTTGCAGTCCAAAGAAAGAGTATATTTGTGAGAAATTGACCCAAATATGAATTCCGGTTTAATTCCTCCATTTGCTCCCCATTTTCTTCGTGTTTTTTTCTTTTGAAAAGTAATAAAGGGGTTTCTCTTTATATATCGGTTATGGGTTAATCTTTATGGTTAAAAAGAGGGGAAAGAAACTATAGAGCATTTTGGATATAATTTTGCTCAAGAAAGGGGACTAACCATGATTTTGCAGGAAAATCGAGTTTGACCGGAGAAGATGACCGGAAAACTCATGTTTGGCCGGAAACAACGCCGGAAACCGGCAAAACCTACTATTAGCGGTCATACTGGTATAATGTACACATTTCAACAAGTTCAAGGGTTAACAAAACACGAAAAATAATTTAGTGACTAAATGTGACCAAAAGTTAAAGTACGTTACCCTCTCAAGTCATTATCCCTTCTTTATATGTTAATCTATGTTGATGATATTGTAATTACCTACTCTTCTCAACAACTCATTGATAAACTAGTACATGCTCTCTCTAGTTCGTTCCCTATTAAAGACCTTGGCAAACTAAATTATTTCCTTGGGCTTGAAGTACTTCACAATTCAGGGGGAATCACTCTTATGCAACAAAAGTATGCCATAGATCTATTACATCGTGTTAACATGGAGAATTGAAAAAGTGTTTCAACCCCAATGTCGGTAACGGATAAATTGTCTCGTAATCATGGGAAGCCTTTTAATGGTGAAGATGCATCTAAGTATCGTAGCATGGTTGGAGGATCACAGTATCTCCCACTAACTAGACCCACCATTTCATTTGCCATAAATAAAGTGTGTCAATTTTTATCTCAACCTACGGATACTCATTGGGAGGCTGTTAAAAGAATCTTAAGATATGTGAAGGGAATGGTGAACACATGACTTTGTTTTAGACCCTCAAAATCAACACTTCTAAGTGTTTTTACTGATGCCGATTGGGCAGGATGTGTGGATTATAGAAGATCTACAGGAGGATTTGCAATATTTCTTGGTCCAAACTTAATATCATGGAGCTCTCGCAAGCAACCCACTGTGGCTCGCTCAAGTACAGAAGTCGAGTATAAGGCTCTTGCTAACGGGACAGCAGAAGCAACGTGGATACAATCTCTGCTCAAGGAACTAGGTGTTCATCAGCCAAGACCACTTGTGTTGTGGTGTGATAATTTGGTAGCAACTTATCTAACAACAAATCCTATTTTTCATGCTCGAGCTAAGCATATAGAATGGATTTTCATTTTGTTAGAGAAAAGGTTACAATGGGTGCTCTTGATGTTCGATTCATATCTTCTGGAGATCAACTAGCAGATGGATTCACAAAGCCGATGACCAAGCACATGTTGCAAAATTTAAGACACAATCTAAACCTTATCACGGTTAAGATTGAGGGGAAATGTAAACGGATAAATTAAGAGAAAATTATTCAAATGTATTGTTGTAGCTATCAGATCCATCTGTTTAGGATATGATATTTATCTCTTACTGTGTAACATGTTTATATATATATAATGTACAGCCTTACAAAGGATTAACACTGCCAATTACTTTCTTAACTCACCGTACAACTTGTCTCAAAATATAATCAAATGGAACCCAACTTGTATCAAATAAAAGTCTCAGCTACACTAAATATATTGATGACACGAAAATCATCAACATCAAGTAATATTCCCTACATCCATTGCTAAGGAGTCTAAAGTTGATAAGGCAGCCAGGCCAAGAGCACAGCCTGAACTTTTGGTGGCATATTATTTGGATATGTGAATTTAATCAGATTAAAATAAGATATAAAAATGTGTGTACCAATTATGCTTTCCATTGACGTCGACAAAAAGGACATGCCAATCTTTTTCTATAGCACTATGCATCATAAATGAAACTAAAGTCAGTATGCTGTGTCGTTAGGATATTTGAGAAACATTAAATGATAATGCAAACTTTATAACAGATTTCTTTTACATGATTAACAAAAAAATAAAAATAAAAATAATCATGGTTTTGGGATGTACTAAAATACTACTTATACTTTTTTAAATCTAAAATATATATCATAAATTTAATAAAAAAATTTTTTGTTAAAAGAACCGAAAGATTTGTATAAGAACTATATTTTATTATATTAACTGTTATGTTATGGGAAAAACTCGTTAAAGATAAACGTGTTATGCATATTAATGTAGATACTAAATTTAAAATGATATAATATTATTAGGCACCATATGTATAATCTATACATTACGTTTCTCTTAACGAAGAAGATTTGTTCGATTTTTATTTAATCTCTTTTTATAATAAAAAGATAACAAAAAATGCTTAAAACATGTTAGTAGATTTCAAGTGATTAACCTTCAACACAAACGTATTTCACTTGCTATCTTTAAGGGATTTTAAAGAGAAGTATCGTAAAGCAAATATATTTTAAAAATATTACTCTTGAACTATGTCTTAGGGATGTAAAATTACTCTTGAACCATGTTTTAGGGATGTAAACGAGTTGAATCGAAGCTCAAGCTTAGCTAGTTTAAAAATCATGGGACTCGTTTCGAGCTTAGTTTTCAAAGCTCAAACTCGGCTTGTGGAAGATTTAAAATGCTCAATCTTGACTCGGGCTCTGCTCGAGTTTGTCTCAGTTGATAGTCAAATATCAAGCCTGTTTGTGTTTTTAAGTTCGTAAAATTTTAATTTTGTAATTATGATTATATATATATATATATATATATATATATATATATATATATATATATATATATATATATATATATATATATATATATATATATATATAAAAGTTATATTATATAAATGTGATCGACTCGATTAGGCTTGCAAGCCTAATCGAGCTTTGTAGATGAAGCTCGGGCTCGAGCTCATTTAATAAACGAGTCTGAAACTAAGCCTAAGTCAGCTCGAATTTGTTTCACTTGAGCTCAAGTTGAGTTTTTACGAATAGCTTATGAATAATTCGACTTGTTTAAGACGATGTATATAGAAGGGAATATGATTTTTGGGTAAAAATCGTAATTAACCAAGAATTGAAGGGGATGATAACAATATTGTGAATGAATAAATTATTGATGACATAGTTTGCATCCCCCAATCATGATTCATATTTTTTTTAAAAGATTCGATTCCACAATGAAAAACAATTTTTTAACCCATAACAATTAAATAAAAGAAATTCAAGAATAAAAAAATTAAACTAAGAAAGATCCGAATCTAAACTATCGAACATTCCGAAACTAAAAACCCTAATCGTACGGTTGTCAATCGGCAACAACTGATCTTTAAATCTACCACCATTCGCCACCATTCTTCCAACAATGTCGATTGGAATCATTCCAGCATAAAACCTTTCTCTCTCCTCTATTTTAGAAGAAAAAATTACCCGATTTCTTCTGTGTCTCTGTCAAATAATTTCTAATTCACCGCCGGCAACCACCGTTACAAATTTTCCGGTGGGTTAAGTTTCTTTGAAGTTTCCGGCCAGTGGGTTGGAGTTGGTAATGATTTCTTGAAACATTTACCATAAAACAGAATATACAAACATGTCTCTGTTGCGTCTTTCTTGAAATTAATCTTTATTTTAAGACACCCAATTCGTTAAATCAAAGAAAGGGTCAGTCTTTCCATGTTTGTTTCCTGGGTTTGTTTTGAAATTCAAAAGCTTTTGAAGGTCTCTCGATTCTTCACTGAAAAACATATATAGTTGTATGTATACCGGTGGTGGTGGAGGATGGTGATGACGGTGGCGTCGCGTAAAAACTCGTTGAAGACAGTGTTCGAGAGAGTCGGAGTTTATGGATTTGGTGCTGGGAGTAGCAACAGACAGAAAAGAGTAAGATACGAGATTCACGATGAAGATGACACCATGGAAATGGTCCAGCTTGGTGCTAATAGAACAAAAAATGTGCTTATTTTAATGAGCGACACCGGCGGTGGCCACCGTGCCTCCGCCGAAGCCATCCGTGACGCGTTCAAGATTGAATTCGGTGATGAATACAAGGTATTATACTATTATTACTTTCTTCCACTCCATATCTATATCAATACATATATGTTTATATAAATCATTCAATTTGATTACTGATTATTTGTTCCAATCATCCAAAATCATCGATCTGTCGATAGATCTTTGTGAAGGATGTTTGGAAAGAATACACGGGGTGGCCATTAAACGACATGGAAAATCAGTATAAATTCATGGTGAAACATGTCCAGCTATGGAGTGTAGCATTTCATGGCACTTCTCCTCGATGGATTCATGGTGTTTATCTTGCTGCAATTGCTGCCTTCTATGCCAAGTATATATATTTTTACCCTCTTTTTTTTACAGTTTATAAAAACTACTGTCTGGATAAATGTTTGTTAAATACTTCCTTTCTATATTTTTGAATAAACGAAAGACGATTCATTTCTTGAAAAGATTCATTATGTTGGAAAGTTTATGGGAATTCATTGGTTTTCTAGTTAAAGTTTCCCATGCGTACAAATTTTAAATTGAGTCTTCTTTTTGTATTAAGTTTAAAAGAAACACCCATAAATATCATTATGGAATTGCTTGTTTTTCTAAAATTCTTCTCATGTGGACAAAAGAAACACAGTGAAAAGATTCATTATCTTTGAAAACGTTGTGGGAATTCATCGGTTTTCTAACATTCTTTCCTCCTGTGGCAAAATTGTAAATTGAAGGGAAGTTGAGGCTGGTTTAATGGAGTACAAACCAGACATAATCATAAGTGTTCATCCTATGATGCAACACATTCCATTATGGGTACTTAAATGGCAAGGATTAGAAAAGAAAGTCATATTTGTGACTGTTATTACCGATCTTAACACATGCCATCGAACATGGTAAAATGTCATAAATACCCTTTTCAATTCACCTATCCTTGAATATTAAATTAAAATTCTTGTTATGTAATCAGGTTTCACCCTCGAGTCAAAAGATGTTATTGCCCTTCAGAAGAGGTATCAAAGAGGGCTTTGTTAGATGGCTTAGAACAAAACCAAGTACGAGTTTTCGGATTGCCTGTTCGACCCTCGTTTGCACGCGCTATCCTCAACAAGGTCGGGAGGGAAAATGACCGAAATACCCTTGTGTTTACTACATAATTACGAAACTAACATTAAGTGCAACAAATAGTTTTCAATCTTTATGTGTGCAAAATGCCCGTATTGTTGGCTATGTCGCTTTTTTTCTTATCATGGTATTTGAGATTTCATAGGGGTAATTTGGTAATTTTGCAGGATGATTTACGGGTAGAGTTAGAACTGGATCCGGTGCTTCCTGCGGTTTTGTTGATGGGAGGTGGTGAAGGAATGGGCCCCGTGAAGAAAACTGCAAAGGCTCTTGCAGAATCTTTATTCGATAAAGAAAATGGAAAAGCTTTAGGACAAATGATCATAATTTGTGGCAGAAACAAAGCTTTAGCTTCTTCACTTGAATCTTTAGAGTGGAAGATTCCTGTTAAGGTAAAAAAAAAAAAAAAAAAAAAAAAAAAAAAAAAAAAAACTCAATGCACTTTCATTTTTATATCTTCCTATATTTGAAAAATAAAAAATAAAAATGTAATTTGATAGGTTAGAGGATTTGAGACACAAATGCAAAAATGGATGGGTGCTTGTGACTGCATCATAACTAAGGTATATATCAAATTACTATAATTGGTAAATTTTAAAGAGGGGCATTTTTGTCATTTCACAATTTTATAACACTAATTCTTTTTTGTAGGCTGGACCTGGCACAATTGCCGAGGCGTTAATCAGAGGGCTTCCCATCATCCTCAATGACTATATTCCAGGACAAGTACGTAAAAAAATGTAAAATGAAAAATATGATGTCATAATAATAAAAAAAATAAATAATAATTTAATAAAAAAGTACATTGCTATTTTGGTGAAATAGGAAAAAGGGAATGTTCCGTATGTGGTGGGAAATGGTGCGGGTGTGTTCACGAGAAGCCCAAAGGAGACGGCGAGGATAGTGGCGGGATGGTTCACCAACAACTCAGATGAGCGCAAGCAAATTTCCGAAAATGCCCTCAAGTTGGCCCAACCGGAGGCAGTGTTTGACATTGTTAGGGACATTCATGACCTCGCGTGTCAACGTGGGCCCCTCCCTTCGTATGATTCTTTTGTGTTGACTTCATCGTTTTCAAACTTAATTTAGCAAGATTGTATTGTACATGTAATTTTTAATTTTTTTTTTTTTTTTAATAGATGTTGTTTAGATTATCTATCTATTCATTCTTTTAGGTTTTAAGAAGCTTTTTGTTTGTGGGAAATTGTTTAAGTTTTGTGGGGTATGGATTTAGGTTGGTTTAGAATTTGAAGAAATTGTTATGAATGATTTGTAGTTTGTAAAAATTTAAATGTGGGTTTTGTTTATTGAAATTTAAAATTTAAATATTTTCCGATTTTTATTAGAAATTGGTGATCCTATTTTGGTGGGAAGAAAGTAATTAATTTTTTACTCAAATAAATTCCATATTACTTTTCGCAGCATCTTCGTCGGATCAGAAGAAAAGTATCCCTCCGTCGATTAAATTAATCTCCGATTTGATTGATCCGACAATAATCAATTGCAGGTATTATTATTATTATTATTATTATTATTATTATTTTCATATCAATTTGTTTTCTTCAGCTCGATTTCAATTTCTTCACATGTAGTTTCATGGATATTGATTTGCTTTTTGAAAGGGAAATTAGAAAATGAATTGATAATTGATATGCGATTGATACCCTCCATTAATCATGTTTTGAGCATGTTTTATGTGATTCTATTTTAAAAGTATTCCAGTGATTATGGCTTTGATTGTTTAAGGGTTCTTTAGATAATGTCCATTTGGATTCTCCGATTAATCATTTGGGTGAAATTTTTGGGTGCGAAATAAAGTGTATGATGATATATTATTTTCTTGTGTTTAACTTTAAAAGCGTTGATGTTTTCTGAACTTGTGTGTGTTCATTGAAGTTTAATATCAAGGGAGGAAAATATCTTGTGGCAAGAACTAAGAAGCAATCCTACTTTAAACATGGTAATAACCTTTTTTAGTTTTTCTTATTTGAATTTTGACTTTTAGATACAAACTAACCATTGTTTTGTGGAAATATGAAAATAATATTATAGTCAACAAAAATAAAAATCTATACAGAGTGTGAAAATATAAATAAATATTGACATGAGATTACGACTGTTATATTTGTCTATTTTGGGGTGTTTGAGATTGTTTATTTAAAATAATTTTTAGCTTATCCGATATTAAAACATAATAAGCTGATAAGTTATTTTGTATTGTTTGACAAATGGTGTCTATTTGTAATTAAAAAATGACTTATCAAAAACTTCTTAACTAAGTTAATAAGTTAGGTAAAACTTATCAAAAATTATTTATTTAACTCAATAAATACTTATGAAATCTTCTCATCCAGACACTTAAAAATTATTATTACCGACGTTATACTGCAATAAATCAATAAGCATTTCAAATTAGTAATCCCAAACACCCCGAGCTTAAGATTAAACATTGTGTTTAATAGAGAAAATGCTCTACAACATATATAACAATAAATGATTTTGGATTAAGTTATGTATATGTAAATATAAAGTAAACCTAGTGGTTCCTAACACATTTTTTGAAATTTTGCAAAAAAAACTATGGTTTGTTCTTTGTAGGTGTACCACTCTAGAATTGTGGATTTGAAGGGAGTTAGTAAAGCTTGTGGGTGTCCCTTACTTCCTCTTAAAAACCAAACTAACCAAACAACTGGGCATGCTCATACTCATGCTCCTCGTCTCTCTGATCAAGGTCTGGTCGGTGTTTCCTATTTACTTAATGCAAAAAGAACGTCTTAACAGATAAAACTAACTACAATAGTAAAACATCAAAATACCAACTACAATGGTAAAACATCAACATGGTGAGCTTTAAACACCAAAATGGTGTAATCAATCCAACCACACTACAATGATTTGTTTTAGAGGTCAAATATTTGAGCCTTCCATATTTGGTTTTCGAGTGTATACACACATTAAAATGATGTATTTTAGAGGTTGGTTTGAATGGTAAAGATAAAAAATATATTAAACTGGTGTATATTAGCATACAATTGGAATTGGTCTAAAGTCATGGAAACAAGGTTTTTCTCAACTTTATTGCCATTTTCTTAACTATTTTTAAAAATCATTTATATAGTCAATACTTAACGGTTGTTGTTGTTGTTATTATTATTATTATTATTATTAAAATCATGCATGGATAAAATAGCGGAATAGATAATGATGCTAAAGTATACACAAAGGTTGTTTCTTTTTTTAACCAAACAAAACCGTCTAATATGAATAAATGAATGATTTACCTTCTTGTCTAGAAATCATGTTTATGTGATTTTGAAAAGAAAAAAAAATTACTTATTATAAAAGGGGGTAAGTGTAAGTAAAGTAGGACCCAAATGAAAATATGTTTCTTATTGAAATATGTCAATCACAAAGTAATTATAATCGAACTTTTGAGACTGGAAGCGATATGAAGAACAATTGTATAATTTTTTAGTCAGCATTTAATCTAATTTATTTTAAAACAATACTTTAGCAACATGTTTCATAGAAAAAGAGGGAAAAGATGTGTAGTACACGTAAAAAGAATCTTTAATGGATAAATGCATCATCATCAATCCCATTTTTATATATTAAGTAAAAAAACAAAATACCATTACACATATGACTAGTCCATTAAGACAAACAAAACAACACCTTAATAAAATAAAATAATAAAAGTGGATTTGATTTTGTAGGGGAAGATATTGTGGATGAAGCAATAAAGTTGTTTAGAGCAAATGTGTTCTTCAAACACTTTGATTTGAAAACTCCTGCTGATAGGATTCTTGTGTATTTAACATTTTATATAAATGTGGCACTGAAGAGGCTGGAAGGTTGCAGAACTTTGACTGAAGGGACAAAAGCCATTAAGAACTTGAGTTTGGAAGATGTTTATGTTCCTGGAGAACCTTCTTTTCCTTTTTCGGGAATTTTTCCTCTTCCAGGAAGTAAAAAGGAAGCGGGTACTAATTTTTATAAATCCCTACAACAGAAATTTCAAAAAAAAAAAAAAAAAACTTGTGACTTTTCTTAATAATTGAACAATTTCGAGTTCGTATAATTTAAAAAAAAAAAAAAAAAAAAAAAAAGTTTTCGTAGTCTCCTTGCAAAAAAACAATTTTGCAGCAAATAGTGAATTTTATGATCGTTTTTTTCTATATTTTTTGTAAGGACCATAGAACAAACAATTTTGCAACAAAGAGTGAATTTCACTGTCGTTTTTTTCTATATTTTTTGTGAGGCCCATAGAAAAAGCAATTTTGCATCAAATAGTAAATTTCAAAAACGTTTTTTTATATATTTTTTTTAGGGTCATAGAAACAAGCAACTTTGCAGCAAATAGTGAATTCCACGGTTGTTTTTTCTATATTTTTTGAGAGCCATAGAAAAAAAACACTTTTGCAACAAATAGTAAATTTAAGGGTCGTTTTTTTCTACTTTTTGTGGAGACCATAGAAAAAAAATAATTTTACAGCAAATATATTGTGGCAAACTTTAAGCCAAAGTTGCTAGATTTGTCTTTTATTATTATTATTATTGATATTTTTTTGAGAACTGTGTGTAGCAATTTTGTTGATGTGTATAACTTTTTTATAAAATGCAGAGGTAATTCGAGATTATTTCAAGGTAATAAGGGAGGAAACAAATAAAAGATTGTTAAACGTCGCATATAGAGCCAATGGGACTCCAAACAAATGGTGGTTAGCATTCTCCAAACGTAAGTTCATTAACAATCTCATTGTTTAGACTCCATTTATCACAGAGTATTATAATATTCAAAACTATTCCTCAAGTTACCTATTCATATCACACATGTTCCTTTAATTATTTAATAATAAAAATCCGGATATCAGAAAATATCCAACTGACATTATTGTTATAGTGTTGGTGAATGTTAAATACTGGAGAAAGTGAAAAATTCTTACATTAGTGAGTGAAGAAGATTCAAGGTTTTTATAAATAAAATGAAAACAAAAAAAGCATAAGATACAAAAAACCAAAATTGTGCTACCCAAACAAGTGAGTGAAGATTCAAGGTTTTTATTCGACTGACTTCCGAATTTACATAAAACAAAACAATCTTTGAATTTTTACCATAATTTTTCACAAAGACTTTATGTACTTCTCACAAAAGCTAAGAATCACGATAAAGTGGTTGAGCCATCCACTTGAGGTTCAAATGTAATCTTCCTGATTTAGCCCCATCAAGTTGAAAACACTCTTTGTATTCTCCTTCCAATATTACCCTTGTTAGTGTCAAAATGCATCTTCCAATGTAGTCCTACATTTTTTTTAAAAACAAATAAATAATTTAAACCAGTGTTTCTTTTTTTACTTAATGGACTTGTCAGCTGTTTGATAGTTGTTGATTCAGTCAGATCTAATTCATTCAGTTTCTTACCAGACCCATTAAGAGGCATATCAATATTAAAAAATAAATAAATAAAAAACTTACTTTGCCAAATGTATCATGATCATATACTTCAACAACAAGCATATCATGCAACCCATCCTCAACAACAAAGTCAAAAGTCTGATTCCAAACCGGGTTTAAATTCTCATTCACAACCTATAAAATTAAATATAATCAAGAAAAGAGAGAGAGAGAGAGAGGTATAGTATTTGTTATTAAAAGACGAAAATACCCTTGTGCTGTTTTTCATCCCGGTTTTCTTCATAGTGAGCACGACAAAAGGATCCGCCTTTCCCATCAAATCGACAGCTGGCAAGTCTTCGGCGGATATCACAGTGACAGAAAGGACGCCTCTTATAATTACGGTTCTTTTTTTATTTACGAAATCGCCATTTTCGTTATCTCCGCTTTTAAGAACTTTTTCAAGAGATGTCATTGTGTAATTAGAAGTAAAAGGATTTGTGAACCCGTTTTCCATTCCATATGGGCAATACAATAGCTCCAAGTGCACCTATAAAAGGTTTTTTTTTTTTTGGATTTTATAAATAATTAGTGTGTTATATATGACTATAAAAACGGGTAGTAACACAAATGACAAAAAATAATAAAGTTAAATCACAAAATAACCACCTTTTCAACTTTATCACAAATATATATATATATATATATATATATATATATATATATATATATCCATTTTGCAAAATTTCTTTATCAGTGGTCCCCACAGAAAAAAACAAACATCATAATATTTCGCAATTGTTTCAAAAAAAAAGTCGATATGGTTTTAAAAAGTTTTGATTTTGACAATGTTACTTTTTGTTACAAATTAGTCCTATGTTTTCTAAATTTTTGCAATGTTAACCATTTGACCAGTCAACCCAGTTGCCAGCTAACATGGCATGCTGACGTGTCAGTCTTTGGTGATGTGGCATGAAGACATGTCAAAATTGAAAAAAGTGGCACAAAAGACGCTTTTTTTTTCAATTTTGACGTTCATTTCTTTTTATTCCAAATCGAACATTCAATGTTTTGACCATCTCCATTTGAAACCATATAAAACAAAAATACTTTTTTTACATTTAAAAACCACATTTTTTTGTATAAATACAAGTTTTCTACATCTGTTACTGTCATTTTTTGCAAAAAAAAAAGTAAAACAAAAATTTCCACAACAAAAGTAAAGAAGAACAATTTTGTAATAAAACTTTAAAAAGTGGTCATTTTGTGATATAATAGACTAACAATACCTTCTCATTTTTAGTTATTTTTGTGATTAGACCATTTTGCCCTTATATAATAAAGATAAACATATAATCAATCACCTTTCCCCTGTCTTTATTGTCTCTTTGAAGATCCAAATCTTTTACCAATTTTATCCATATATCCTTAACTTTACCAGGCACAAGTTCACTTAATTTCACATGACAACATCCAAGAAGCTCAGCTGCTTGAAGCCCTTCATCATCGAATATTTTCACTGTTAAATGTTGTGTGGAGATATCTTCCACTACAAACTCAAAATGTTCATTCCAAATTGGATTCAAATCGTTGTTCTGAAACATAAAATAAATGTAACATCAACAAGATTAGGTATTTGGAACATGTGTTTAATTAAATATATGAAAAAGAAAAGAAATTAGAAGGGTAACTTACGATAACTTTACTGGTTTTTGTTCTATTACGCAAAGGGCGTATGTATAATTCAGCAAAAGGATCAGATTTCCCAATGATGTCTTTATTTGTCAAGCCATTAGCTTGAACAAGTTTCACCTCCAATGTCCCCACAGGCTTTAGTTCAAGGTCACTACACCATGGATTGGATAAAAGAAAAAGGGTAAAATGGTAATTTGCAAGTGATCTTTGTTGTTTCTGGAACTCTAATTAGTATTCTTGTTTTAAAGATATTAAAGTTAGTGACATGACATCATCATAGATTAGCTAAGTTTCCTCTCCAAAATCCAAATGTGCTTGTTTTATACGCTAGGGGCAAAAATGTCATTTAGTTTTGAAGATTGTAGGGGGTGTACCTGTAATCCCCGGGCAAAATGGGAATAACTTTTCGAACTGGCCACGTGATTGAGTCTTCAACAGCATCACGTATTGTACTCTGAATAAACAAGAAAACTTTTTAAGCAAAAGGGTATATAAGAAATATAATGTGGATTGTTTTCCTTTTGTGAAAAAAAATACACACCTCAAGGGCATCAGCAACACCAGGAATAGCTGAAATGTCACCACCAACAACTTTAAGTGTAAAATCCATCTTTTTCTGCAAAAAAGAAAAAAAAGAAATAAAGGATGTTTTACTTTTACTTTCAAGTGGATTTATATTCAAAGAAATAGATTAAAGAAGGAAAAGATGTATACTTTTTGTCTCAAAGAAAATGACACAGCTCCAAAACATGGAAATTCGGGAACTAGAGGCTTAAAAATCAACCTGAAAACCCCAGTGAATGCAATATTCTTCACCTGAACAACAAAAGAGATTAAGATTAAAGAATATGTTTTGTTAATAGTAAACAAAGTTGAAGCCAATTATTTTCCAAATTCCAATAATAACCCTTGACAGCTAGGCAAATTGAATTACCTGCACAGGCAATCCAACTCCTAGTCTGGTCTTGATATCAAGTATTATACTAGGGTTTCCATCCCAATTCATTTCCAACTCCATTGTTATTCCTTCACCTCCATCTTCAACAATAGAAACTCCTAAACAATATAAACAATTGATAATTAAGATTCAAGAATATGTGGAATCTTCTTAAACTAGCAGAGAACATAAACTATCAATTAGCCTAACCTGTAAACTGTGGGGCCACTGTGCCGAGGGTAAACTTGGAAAATGACAAAGAGGACAACACCATTGGTCTATATTGTTCAAGAGTTGGCTCCAAATTAGCCTTTATAAGCTCAGATGCTGCCTACAAGACAATCCAAAAACACTTGATAAGCATAGTACCATAATGATGGTGAATAGAGGGGTTTAAAATTTAAAACTGACCTCATCAACATAGGGCCAGATCTTTGTAAGATGAGCATTAAGCCAGGTCAACTGAAAGATTAAGCAGAACAATAATCAGTCCCTGAAGATGGGAAAGAAAATGGAGAGAAAGTACATAAGCAGGAAGAATGTAGGGTAGAAAAGTATCACTCAACTTCTGTCTCTGTGAGAAAACAACCCAAGAAGGGTAGAATTCTGGTGAAAGCAACTTTTTTGAATCTTCAACTGTCATTCTCGCAAAAGCAGCAATCGTTGTTGCCTTCAACACATAATTTAACCAAAATTTCAATAAATTCACAGATATTCAGAGCATACACTCGCTTCAAATCATGTTTTAGGGCACACGTTAAGGAAGATGCATATTGTGTGTGTTGTTGAATCAAACAATTCACACAAACTATTACACATAATGGAGACTGGAGTGTTTGTGTTGTGTGTAATCCAAATCCTTTTGAACTAACTCATAGACAGATGCAGATACAAGTGTGTTATGGCGTGAAAGCTACGATGAAGCTAAAAATATAACTTTTGGTTTCTTCCTCTACGAAATTAAAGCTTTTAAAACAGCGCTCATCGAATCAGGCTAATCCATGAACGTACATATGCAGCTTTTATGATACGAGAGTTACAAATTAAGCAACTTACATCAAGTCAAATCAATTCAATTCAATTCCACCCACCAATTTATCATTCTGACCAAAATAAACAACCAAAAACATAAAAAATCGGAGTTTTCAAACTTACAAGTGCAGTGCGACGCACAGATCGTGCATTCTCAGACCGAACAAACACAACAATCAGTGCTATCCCCACCACAAGTCCGGTTATCAGTCCCGCAATGAACGACATTCTTCGAACAGGAAAACGATAGCAATAAACTCAACAGATTTGCTGAAAGACTTGGAAAAATTAGAGCCACAAAACACCAAATTTCAAACAGTTCACGAACAAGCATCCAAAGAAATTTCCAATTAGTGGGTGTTTTGGTGTTTGTGTGTGAGAGAGAAAGAGGAGAAAGGGTAACAGTTTCTAGAGTAAAGTGGCGATTGGTGTTCTGTAAATTAAGCGAAGATTTTGGGCAGCGAGGAAATTAGAAGAACCGTGTAAAATGTGTACTTCATTAGTTCATTTTGATTTGTTAATTAATTGTTATTACATTTGATTTAATTAAGTAATTAGTGGGTTATTACGTATTAATTAATATTTTTAAAAGTTTTATTAAGGTCTTAATTGGACACGATGGGTTTTGCCGACAAGGAATGCTTGACTTTTATTAACTTTGACACGTCATGGTTTTCAGATTGGCTTTTTCTTCGAATTAAAGATATGATTTTTAAGGGTTGTAGGTTTTTTTAAGGATACTCATCAAATTGCTCTATTTGTGGTAATATACAAAAGGATATTTATGAAAAATATGATATATATGGGTTTTTGTTATTATATCCAAGTGTAA